GAGCTTTAAAATGTAGCGAAAATATTAATTAATAGATAAAAGAATAAAAGTACAGAATAAAAAGTTGTGTTTCTTGAGCGCAAATGGTATGTGTTAAGATTGGAGGATATTAAGGATATTAAGAAAATGTTAACACATGGTAAACATTTTATTTGAGAGTTTATTGTAGAAGAAAAAAGTATAATGATATCGAAATGTTTGGATTTCTTGAATTTTGACACAGGTATATTTTTCTATAAATATGTAAGAATACAGCAAAAGGATTTATTTATGGAAAATTCTGTGAGTGACAGAAGTCATTGTATAAGGATATAAAAAATAATTTATTAGAAAACGTATTATCAAGTACAATTATCAAAGTCAGAATGAACCTTCTATTGGCTAAAGGGAGATCAACAGCTAAGAAGGCATTCTAATTCTATCATAGTTTTAACTGCAGAAATACAATTATTGTTTATTTATTATTTATGTGTAACTTTCATATTTATTCCTGTTTTTTATATCAATTTTTGTTTAAGTTAAGCACATAAGGATACAAAAGAAGATTACGCATTAAATATAAGAACAAGTGATTTTTAGATAGAAATAAACATATATAAACATATAAATACATTGACATTGAAAACCAAACATCTATGGAAATATAAAAATTCTTAACTTTTAAAATGCGAAACTTTTGATAATCATTCAACAAAAAAAACATTGAATAAATTTGCAGTAAGTATTTTCTTTCAATTTTATGATTATAACACTATGATTAAATATTATAATAAAGTGTATCATGGACGTTTCTTAGAGTCTTTTAAAAACGTTAGGGAATATTGTAAAATGCAACAATAAAATACTTTTAAAAATGCAAATATATTATTTAATTAAGATATTTAATCTTTCAAGTTAGGTACTAAAGAAATATAGTCACTCTGTTTGATAATAACAAAAGTTTTTTGATTGTACATGACAATTTTGAATTAATTCAATTAATATGTCACAAAATATTTGTTTTGACTGTACATTTTCATTCTTTAAACGTATTGTCCACTGAAGTTCACTCAACTTAAATCCAAACGAATTTCGAGTTTAAATTTTTATTTCTTTGAAGTTGCATGCCACAAAATTTGTGGAAATTCAATAAAATAGCAAAATATTTTCTCATTTATTGAAGGAAACTCTTTCGGACTGCAATAATTGCAATCTTGAGGAGCACATCAATTGCGGCCAACAAATTCGTAAAACAATTTCACTTTTTATCTTTAAGGTGATTTTATTGTAATTTTCTTGCGGTTCATAGTGTTTTCACAATTTTGCGGCTGGTACGAATTGTTTTTATGTTGTTCGAATTATTTAACGTAAAATACTTAAACTTGAAGTAATTGAAAATTCATTTATTTATTCAATAAAAAGAAATTTAATTTATTTTTAATTTCTGACGGCTTGAAGTTCAAATTTTATATAATTTTAGTTTTTATATTTTGCACAACTTTTGACACATTTTTGCACTTCACTTTGCTTTCGTCACACCACACACAACTCACCTTTATTTGTTTTTGTGTTGTTGTTAATTAAAAAAATAATAATAATATTATGTAAAACTTTGTAACGGTTTAAATCCTTATGCAATCCGTTCGTAAATAAAAATATCCTTTTGTACCTGTTGAGATCAGGTTAGTGTTTTGTTCGTTTGTTGCTGACTCGTTGACTGATTTTGCTTTGGGCTGCACACTAGTTTTTATACCAACTCAAAACCGGGGTTTAAACGCGCGCTCAACAGCATACAAAGCAAATCTACATAGCAGCTAAGCTAAGCGAAGTTTAGTAGCTTATTTTCTTCTTCACTCACACTCTTTCGCCGATCGCTCTTGCTAATGCCATATGCCATTTTCCATGCCATGCAGTAAATGAATTTCGGCATTTCTTGCTCTGCGCTGCATGTTTGGTGTTTGTGACGCATATCTCGCTTGTTTTTTTCGTTTTTTTTTCGGTTTTTATGAATGATTTTTGTGTTCCGCGAATATTTTAAGGCCATTTTCTGTTTAGATTTAGTGTTTGTTTTTTTTTCTTGTTTTTGAAATGCAATAACATTTAAGCCTCGTTGCTAAAGCGTTACGTTTGCGTAGATCTGAAGTGTGGCTTTGTAGAGCATTTCTGTTTTCTTCGTCCTCCTGCTCCGCCATTGAATTCAAATTATGTGTGGGTTTTTGCAAAAAAGTTTAATAAAGAAAAGTGATCGTTTCGGTTTTGTCAGTTTATTGCAAACGATTACAATTCAAATATAAATATATAGGGAGATATGTAAATTAACAATAGCTTATTAGTGACAGCTGTAACGAATCTATTTTTGTTTAAAACTAATTTAAATTATTGTTTTGTGGAAGTTGCAGTGAGGTTATTGGACTGAATTACAATATACGATGGTCGAAATACCTTTTCGATAACTTTTCGTTACCTTAACTTTCCTAATTGTATATAATAAAATGATTTTGGTTAGCTTAAGTTAGGCAATTTTCAACGAAAAGTAGTAAATAATTTATGATCAATTAAACAAAACAATAAAATTATTTAAGCTTAAACCCTCATTGATCACATTGTAGTTATAAAAAAATTTTAACCATTATTCCATACTTAAAAATTATACTTCTGGTGTTATTTTTCACTGTCACTTTTTCCATATCTCACATTTAATGCTGGCCAGCAGCGTAGTCTGGATACCAAAGGGGACAGGATGTACTAGAAAATCATTTTTTTGCAATGTTTTTATATTTTTATATTATCTGTAGAATATATTGTATGAGGAAGGGATGTATCTTTAACGCTTCCAGGCAATGTCACTGGTACAGGCGGTTCTGTCACTGGTACGGTTTTTAATAGGTGTATTCGGTCACTCAGATGTGTGAAAAAATATCGAGTCATTTGCTAAAAACCTCTAATTTGTACGCAAAACAACAACACCACTTTTTACTCTAATAGACTAGTTTTGAAATCTCTAATTATCTAAGAGACTACAGAAAAAATGTTGCCAAAAGGGATAAGCGATTTATTGAAACCAACATTGGGGATTTCAACGAATATTCCAGTTATATGCAAACAAAATTAAAAAATTGTAAACAAAAAGTATTTTGGAAAACTCGTATATTAAAATTAAATACACAATACACAAAAATTTTCAAGAATAATGAAGAAAGCGTAATTAAAAATGGAATTAAACATTAAACATTGAATTTTTTAAGTTGTTAATTGCTAACAAGTTTATGCTTATTGAGGCATTAATGTTTTTAACTGTAATTAATTTCTTTGTAAAAGGAAATTTCAAAATTTCCTACATTGTTACCATTGCTTTTAATTGGCTATCCAATATATATAAAATTACGTTTGTTTTAAATTTTAAGCTACTACTTTTTAATTGGGAAAATATGCTGTTTGACAGATTGCAACAGTGATGCCAATATACATATTTGTAAGAGACTTTGACAAGAGACTTGTTGTTTTTTGTTGCACTGCGGAGCTGCCGAATATAGCTATTGCTACTATTAGGATAGATAATAGACAGAGTACCGGTTCCGAGCACCGAGCACCGCGACCATAGTTGATCTTTCGTGGTGCTACTCTAACCGAATAGAAGACATTCCGACCTTCGAATGAAAGCCAAAATATCAGCCGTTGAGGACTCCTCATATCAGAAGAGGAAAGTTATTCTAGACCCAGTGATTTCCTACTGGCCCAGATCAAGATTGGAGAGTCACAGAGAATGTAACTGAAAGACTCGTCTGCTTCAAAACAGTGTCGACAATCAATCTCTTCAGACAGAACTACTTAGTTAAAGTGATAACGCAGTCCGTGGTGACCAATTAAATATTCCACCAGCAACGTCAACTCTATTATAATTCTTACGTATGTATGCGATATGTCAAAGTATGTTTGCAGGTAAATAAATTAATATACTATTCTTGTTGTGCCTGGTATTATAATTCTTACTTTTATTATAATGTATATATGCTAGCATACTCAAATGTAAACATAACTAATATAAATTAATTTTAAGTTTGGAGAGAAATTAACTTATTATTTTGATACCGCTGTATTAAGCATTTAATTAATATTTAAAAATTCTATATTCTATGACAAGAAATCTATTTCGAATAGAAAATGTTGGTGATAGTAAGGAAATTTATAAGTTCAAAACAAACTCTCTTAATCAAGTGATCTCATTTAATCCTGGGTCTACGTAGTATCATATCATAAATCTAGAAGAATATTTTTAAGCTTGTTTTGGCAGGGCATCCTAAATTCCAAAACTCACAGAATGACTGTGAGTGATATAATTTTATGTGACTGGTATTGATTTAAGGTGTGAGAAAATTAGATCTCCCACAGATAATAAAAGATAATTTTTTTTTTATTATTATAATTCACATTTAAATTGTGATAAAAATGTTTATTTAAATTAGTTATTTGTCTTTTTCAAACCTAATTTTCACTTTAAACGATTACATTTCATACTCTGTAGTAATTGTAAGTAAATTTTGAAATTACAGTTACAGTTTAGTTATAAATGATTATACATTCCCTGCATGAGGTAAAAAATAAAAAGATAAAAAACTTTATATCACGTTAATTGTCACATTTAGCTACAAAATTTATGTAACTGAATGTTACAAATGACGTCACAATGATGACTAATTATGCACTACAAGACTTATAAAAATTATGTCGAAACCCTTAAAAATCAACCAAAATTTAATATTTCAAAAAAATAATACAAAAAAAAAAAATAAATGAACCGGATTCAAACGTACTCTTCTGGTGCTTAAATCTTTAAAAAAAATTGTACACTCAAAGCAAAAAGAAAGTAATTTTTTATGTCGCTTAATTTATAAAAATTCCTAGCGAATTTGGAATCGCATT